TGAGCGCACCTGGATGCGGGTAGCTGCCATGTGAGCGCACCTGGATGCGGGTAGCTGCCATGTGAGCGCACCTGGATGCGGGTAGCTGCCATGTGAGCGCACCTGGATGCGGGTAGCTGCCATGTGAGCGCACCTGGATGCGGGTAGCTGCCATGTGAGCGCACCTGGATGCGGGTAGCTGCCATGTGAGCGCACCTGGATGCGGGTAGCAGCCATGTGAGCGCACCTGGATGCGGGTAGCAGCCATGTGAGCGCACCTGGATGCGGGTAGCTGCCATGTGAGCGCACCTGGATGCGGGTAGCAGCCATGTGAGCGCACCTGGATGCGGGTAGCAGCCATGTGAGCGCACCTGGATGCGGGTAGCTGCCATGTGAGCGCACCTGGATGCGGGTAGCTGCCATGTGAGCGCACCTGGATGCGGGTAGCTGCCATGTGAGCGCACCTGGATGCGGGTAGCTGCCATGTGAGCGCACCTGGATGCGGGTAGCAGCCATGTGAGCGCACCTGGATGCGGGTAGCTGCCATGTGAGCGCACCTGGATGCGGGTAGCTGCCATGTGAGCGCACCTGGATGCGGGTAGCTGCCATGTGAGCGCACCTGGATGCGGGTAGCTGCCATGTGAGCGCACCTGGATGCGGGTAGCTGCCATGTGAGCGCACCTGGATGCGGGTAGCAGCCATGTGAGCGCACCTGGATGCGGGTAGCTGCCATGTGAGCGCACCTGGATGCGGGTAGCAGCCATGTGAGCGCACCTGGATGCGGGTAGCTGCCATGTGAGCGCACCTGGATGCGGGTAGCTGCCATGTGAGCGCACCTGGATGCGGGTAGCTGCCATGTGAGCGCACCTGGATGCGGGTAGCTGCCATGCGAGCGCACCTGGATGCGGGTAACTGCCATGTGAGCGCACCTGGATGCGGGTAGCTGCCATGTGAGCGCACCTGGATGCGGGTAGCTGCCATGTGAGCGCACCTGGATGCGGGTAGCAGCCATGTGAGCGCACCTGGATGCGGGTAGCAGCCATGTGAGCGCACCTGGATGCGGGTAGCTGCCATGTGAGCGCACCTGGATGCGGGTAGCTGCCATGTGAGCGCACCTGGATGCGGGTAGCTGCCATGTGAGCGCACCTGGATGCGGGTAGCTGCCATGTGAGCGCACCTGGATGCGGGTAGCTGCCATGTGAGCGCACCTGGATGCGGGTAGCAGCCATGTGAGCGCACCTGGATGCGGGTAGCTGCCATGTGAGCGCACCTGGATGCGGGTAGCTGCCATGTGAGCGCACCTGGATGCGGGTAGCTGCCATGTGAGCGCACCTGGATGCGGGTAGCAGCCATGTGAGCGCACCTGGATGCGGGTAGCTGCCATGTGAGCGCACCTGGATGCGGGTAGCTGCCATGTGAGCGCACCTGGATGCGGGTAGCTGCCATGTGAGCGCACCTGGATGCGGGTAGCAGCCATATGAGCGCACCTGGATGCGGGTAGCTGCCATGTGAGCGCACCTGGATGCGGGTAGCAGCCATGTGAGCGCACCTGGATGCGGGTAGCTGCCATGTGAGCGCACCTGGATGCGGGTAGCTGCCATGTGAGCGCACCTGGATGCGGGTAGCTGCCATGTGAGCGCACCTGGATGCGGGTAGCTGCCATGTGAGCGCACCTGGATGCGGGTAGCTGCCATGTGAGCGCACCTGGATGCGCGTAGCAGCCATGTGAGCGCACCTGGATGCGGGTAGCTGCCATGTGAGCGCACCTGGATGCGGGTAGCTGCCATGTGAGCGCACCTGGATGCGGGTAGCTGCCATGTGAGCGCACCTGGATGCGGGTAGCTGCCATGTGAGCGCACCTGGATGCGGGTAGCTGCCATGTGAGCGCACCTGGATGCGGGTAGCTGCCATGTGAGCGCACCTGGATGCGGGTAGCTGCCATGTGAGCGCACCTGGATGCGGGTAGCTGCCATGTGAGCGCACCTGGATGCGGGTAGCTGCCATGTGAGCGCACCTGGATGCGGGTAGCAGCCATGTGAGCGCACCTGGATGCGGGTAGCTGCCATGTGAGCGCACCTGGATGCGGGTAGCTGCCATGTGAGCGCACCTGGATGCGGGTAGCAGCCATGCGAGCGCACCTGGATGCGGGTAGCTGCCATGTGAGCGCACCTGGATGCGGGTAACTGCCATGTGAGCGCACCTGGATGCGGGTAGCTGCCATGTGAGCGCACCTGGATGCGGGTAGCTGCCATGTGAGCGCACCTGGATGCGGGTAGCAGCCATGTGAGCGCACCTGGATGCGGGTAGCAGCCATGTGAGCGCACCTGGATGCGGGTAGCTGCCATGTGAGCGCACCTGGATGCGGGTAGCTGCCATGTGAGCGCACCTGGATGCGGGTAGCTGCCATGTGAGCGCACCTGGATGCGGGTAGCTGCCATGTGAGCGCACCTGGATGCGGGTAGCTGCCATGTGAGCGCACCTGGATGCGGGTAGCTGCCATGTGAGCGCACCTGGATGCGGGTAGCAGCCATGTGAGCGCACCTGGATGCGGGTAGCAGCCATGTGAGCGCACCTGGATGCGGGTAGCTGCCATGTGAGCGCACCTGGATGCGGGTAGCAGCCATGTGAGCGCACCTGGATGCGGGTAGCAGCCATGTGAGCGCACCTGGATGCGGGTAGCTGCCATGTGAGCGCACCTGGATGCGGGTAGCTGCCATGTGAGCGCACCTGGATGCGGGTAGCTGCCATGTGAGCGCACCTGGATGCGGGTAGCTGCCATGTGAGCGCACCTGGATGCGGGTAGCAGCCATGTGAGCGCACCTGGATGCGGGTAGCTGCCATGTGAGCGCACCTGGATGCGGGTAGCTGCCATGTGAGCGCACCTGGATGCGGGTAGCTGCCATGTGAGCGCACCTGGATGCGGGTAGCTGCCATGTGAGCGCACCTGGATGCGGGTAGCTGCCATGTGAGCGCACCTGGATGCGGGTAGCAGCCATGTGAGCGCACCTGGATGCGGGTAGCTGCCATGTGAGCGCACCTGGATGCGGGTAGCAGCCATGTGAGCGCACCTGGATGCGGGTAGCTGCCATGTGAGCGCACCTGGATGCGGGTAGCTGCCATGTGAGCGCACCTGGATGCGGGTAGCAGCCATGCGAGCGCACCTGGATGCGGGTAGCTGCCATGTGAGCGCACCTGGATGCGGGTAACTGCCATGTGAGCGCACCTGGATGCGGGTAGCTGCCATGTGAGCGCACCTGGATGCGGGTAGCTGCCATGTGAGCGCACCTGGATGCGGGTAGCAGCCATGTGAGCGCACCTGGATGCGGGTAGCAGCCATGTGAGCGCACCTGGATGCGGGTAGCTGCCATGTGAGCGCACCTGGATGCGGGTAGCTGCCATGTGAGCGCACCTGGATGCGGGTAGCTGCCATGTGAGCGCACCTGGATGCGGGTAGCTGCCATGTGAGCGCACCTGGATGCGGGTAGCTGCCATGTGAGCGCACCTGGATGCGGGTAGCAGCCATGTGAGCGCACCTGGATGCGGGTAGCTGCCATGTGAGCGCACCTGGATGCGGGTAGCAGCCATGTGAGCGCACCTGGATGCGGGTAGCTGCCATGTGAGCGCACCTGGATGCGGGTAGCTGCCATGTGAGCGCACCTGGATGCGGGTAGCAGCCATGTGAGCGCACCTGGATGCGGGTAGCTGCCATGTGAGCGCACCTGGATGCGGGTAGCTGCCATGTGAGCGCACCTGGATGCGGGTAGCTGCCATGTGAGCGCACCTGGATGCGGGTAGCAGCCATGTGAGCGCACCTGGATGCGGGTAGCTGCCATGTGAGCGCACCTGGATGCGGGTAGCTGCCATGTGAGCGCACCTGGATGCGGGTAGCTGCCATGTGAGCGCACCTGGATGCGGGTAGCTGCCATGTGAGCGCACCTGGATGCGGGTAGCTGCCATGTGAGCGCACCTGGATGCGGGTAGCTGCCATGTGAGCGCACCTGGATGCGGGTAGCTGCCATGTGAGCGCACCTGGATGCGGGTAGCTGCCATGTGAGCGCACCTGGATGCGGGTAGCTGCCATGTGAGCGCACCTGGATGCGGGTAGCTGCCATGTGAGCGCACCTGGATGCGGGTAGCAGCCATGTGAGCGCACCTGGATGCGGGTAGCTGCCATGTGAGCGCACCTGGATGCGGGTAGCTGCCATGTGAGCGCACCTGGATGCGGGTAGCTGCCATGTGAGCGCACCTGGATGCGGGTAGCTGCCATGTGAGCGCACCTGGATGCGGGTAGCTGCCATGTGAGCGCACCTGGATGCGGGTAGCAGCCATGTGAGCGCACCTGGATGCGGGTAGCTGCCATGTGAGCGCACCTGGATGCGGGTAGCAGCCATGTGAGCGCACCTGGATGCGGGTAGCTGCCATGTGAGCGCACCTGGATGCGGGTAGCTGCCATGTGAGCGCACCTGGATGCGGGTAGCAGCCATGCGAGCGCACCTGGATGCGGGTAGCTGCCATGTGAGCGCACCTGGATGCGGGTAACTGCCATGTGAGCGCACCTGGATGCGGGTAGCTGCCATGTGAGCGCACCTGGATGCGGGTAGCTGCCATGTGAGCGCACCTGGATGCGGGTAGCAGCCATGTGAGCGCACCTGGATGCGGGTAGCAGCCATGTGAGCGCACCTGGATGCGGGTAGCTGCCATGTGAGCGCACCTGGATGCGGGTAGCTGCCATGTGAGCGCACCTGGATGCGGGTAGCTGCCATGTGAGCGCACCTGGATGCGGGTAGCTGCCATGTGAGCGCACCTGGATGCGGGTAGCTGCCATGTGAGCGCACCTGGATGCGGGTAGCAGCCATGTGAGCGCACCTGGATGCGGGTAGCTGCCATGTGAGCGCACCTGGATGCGGGTAGCTGCCATGTGAGCGCACCTGGATGCGGGTAGCTGCCATGTGAGCGCACCTGGATGCGGGTAGCTGCCATGTGAGCGCACCTGGATGCGGGTAGCTGCCATGTGAGCGCACCTGGATGCGCGTAGCAGCGAGGCGGCGCCGGGTGTTGACATAGGCGGTGCGGCAGAGGTGCATGCGCACAGCGGCCTGCACCACCAGGGCCGCGTGGCGCAGGTGCAGGAAGCGCAGGCGCTGCTGCCGCCCCCTCTCTGCCGCCTGGATGGTTGTCGCCGCCACGTCCCTCCGCAGCTGCTGGTATGACGCGCGCGCACAGTGGCCTGGAGGGGGGTTGTGGGAGGTGTTGGGGAGGAGGTGGGGGACGGGGGTGGAAGGAGGGGAGGAGGTGGGGGACGGGGGTGGAAGCAGGGGAGGGAGAAGGACAGTAGGGCGAGTGAGGGTACGGCAGGGAGGAGAGGGAGTGCGACAGAACGATCTGCCAGTTACTTTTGTTACTTTTGTTACTTTTGTTACTTTTGGATGCCCTTCACTGTGCGCCTCTCCGCTGCCCCAGATATGAGGTAAGGCATCTGGTGCCACCCTCACCTCGCCACCACTTCACCTCGTCTGGATAAGCATCTCACCGCACCCCACCTCACCACACTGCACATCTCACCTCGCCAGTGTGTCTGGATGAGCAGGGCGGCGCGCCTGCGGTGGCGGGTGAAGAGGAAGTGCCGCGTGGCGCGCTGAATCTTCCTGGCAGCTTCGTTCATGGCGTCCAGGCGCATGGTCTGCAGCAGCGCCATCTGCCCCGCCCTCAGGAACACCTTGGTCTGCCCGATCTGCCATGCATGCATCATGCACGTACCGGGGACAGGAGCAGAGAAAAGGGGGAGCGCGGGGAGATTATACTACAAAAGAGAGCTCAAAAGGGAATGTGGAAGTCTGGAAGGATGGAGGGCGACAGGAACAGCAGCACATGCACATGCACGGTGTGCAGCACATGCACGGTGTGCAGCACATGCACGGTGTGCAGCACATGCACGGTGTGCAGCACATGCACGGTGTGCAGCACATGCACGGTGTGCAGCACATGCACGGTGTGCAGCACATGCACGGTGTGCAGCACATGCACGGTGTGCAGCACATTCACGGTGTGCAGCACATGCACGGTGGTGCAGCACATGCACGGTGTGCAGCACATGCACGGTGTGCAGCACATGCACGGTGTGCAGCACATGCACGGTGTGCAGCACATGCACGGTGTGCAGCACATGCACGGTGTGCAGCACATGCACGGTGTGCAGCACATGCACGGTGTGCAGCACATGCACGGTGTGCAGCACATGCACGGTGTGCAGCACATTCACGGTGTGCAGCACATTCACGGTGTGCAGCACATGCACGGTGTGCAGCACATGCACGGTGTGCAGCACATGCACGGTGTGCAGCACATGCACGGTGTGCAGCACATGCACGGTGTGCAGCACATGCACGGTGTGCAGCACATGCACGGTGTGCAGCACATTCACGGTGTGCAGCACATTCACGGTGTGCAGCACATGCACGGTGTGCAGCACATGCACGGTGTGCAGCACATGCACGGTGTGCAGCACATGCACGGTGTGCAGCACATGCACGGTGTGCAGCACATGCACGGTGTGCAGCACATGCACGGTGTGCAGCACATGCACGGTGTGCAGCACATGCACGGTGTGCAGCACATTCACGGTGTGCAGCACATGCACGGTGTGCAGCACATGCACGGTGTGCAGCACATTCACGGTGTGCAGCACATGCACGGTGTGCAGCACATGCACGGTGTGCAGCACATGCACGGTGTGCAGCACATGCACGGTGTGCAGCACATGCACGGTGTGCAGCACATTCACGGTGTGCAGCACATGCACGGTGTGCAGCACATTCACGGTGTGCAGCACATTCACGGTGTGCAGCACATGCACGGTGTGCAGCACATGCACGGTGTGCAGCACATGCACGGTGTGCAGCACATGCACGGTGTGCAGCACATGCACGGTGTGCAGCACATGCACGGTGTGCAGCACATGCACGGTGTGCAGCACATGCACGGTGTGCAGCACATGCACGGTGTGCAGCACATTCACGGTGTGCAGCACATGCACGGTGTGCAGCACATGCACGGTGTGCAGCACATGCACGGTGTGCAGCACATGCACGGTGTGCAGCACATGCACGGTGTGCAGCACATGCACGGTGTGCAGCACATGCACGGTGTGCAGCACATGCACGGTGTGCAGCACATGCACGGTGTGCAGCACATTCACGGTGTGCAGCACATGCACGGTGTGCAGCACATGCACGGTGTGCAGCACATGCACGGTGTGCAGCACATGCACGGTGTGCAGCACATGCACGGTGTGCAGCACATTCACGGTGTGCAGCACATGCACGGTGTGCAGCACATGCACGGTGTGCAGCACATGCACGGTGTGCAGCACATTCACGGTGTGCAGCACATGCACGGTGTGCAGCACATTCACGGTGTGCAGCACATTCACGGTGTGCAGCACATGCACGGTGTGCAGCACATTCACGGTGTGCAGCACATGCACGGTGTGCAGCACATGCACGGTGTGCAGCACATGCACGGTGTGCAGCACATGCACGGTGTGCAGCACATGCACGGTGTGCAGCACATGCACGGTGTGCAGCACATTCACGGTGTGCAGCACATGCACGGTGTGCAGCACATGCACGGTGTGCAGCACATGCACGGTGTGCAGCACATGCACGGTGTGCAGCACATGCACGGTGTGCAGCACATGCACGGTGTGCAGCACATTCACGGTGTGCAGCACATGCACGGTGTGCAGCACATTCACGGTGTGCAGCACATGCACGGTGTGCAGCACATTCACGGTGTGCAGCACATTCACGGTGTGCAGCACATGCACGGTGTGCAGCACATGCACGGTGTGCAGCACATGCACGGTGTGCAGCACATGCACGGTGTGCAGCACATTCACGGTGTGCAGCACATTCACGGTGTGCAGCACATGCACGGTGTGCAGCACATGCACGGTGTGCAGCACATGCACGGTGTGCAGCACATGCACGGTGTGCAGCACATGCACGGTGTGCAGCACATGCACGGTGTGCAGCACATGCACGGTGTGCAGCACATTCACGGTGTGCAGCACATGCACGGTGTGCAGCACATTCACGGTGTGCAGCACATTCACGGTGTGCAGCACATGCACGGTGTGCAGCACATGCACGGTGTGCAGCACATGCACGGTGTGCAGCACATGCACGGTGTGCAGCACATGCACGGTGTGCAGCACATGCACGGTGTGCAGCACATGCACGGTGTGCAGCACATGCACGGTGTGCAGCACATGCACGGTGTGCAGCACATGCACGGTGTGCAGCACATTCACGGTGTGCAGCACATGCACGGTGTGCAGCACATTCACGGTGTGCAGCACATGCACGGTGTGCAGCACATGCACGGTGTGCAGCACATGCACGGTGTGCAGCACATGCACGGTGTGCAGCACATGCACGGTGTGCAGCACATGCACGGTGTGCAGCACATTCACGGTGTGCAGCACATGCACGGTGTGCAGCACATTCACGGTGTGCAGCACATGCACGGTGTGCAGCACATGCACGGTGTGCAGCACATGCACGGTGTGCAGCACATGCACGGTGTGCAGCACATGCACGGTGTGCAGCACATTCACGGTGTGCAGCACATGCACGGTGTGCAGCACATTCACGGTGTGCAGCACATTCACGGTGTGCAGCACATGCACGGTGTGCAGCACATTCACGGTGTGCAGCACATGCACGGTGTGCAGCACATGCACGGTGTGCAGCACATGCACGGTGTGCAGCACATGCACGGTGTGCAGCACATGCACGGTGTGCAGCACATGCACGGTGTGCAGCACATTCACGGTGTGCAGCACATGCACGGTGTGCAGCACATTCACGGTGTGCAGCACATGCACGGTGTGCAGCACATGCACGGTGTGCAGCACATGCACGGTGTGCAGCACATGCACGGTGTGCAGCACATTCACGGTGTGCAGCACATGCACGGTGTGCAGCACATTCACGGTGTGCAGCACATGCACGGTGTGCAGCACATTCACGGTGTGCAGCACATTCACGGTGTGCAGCACATGCACGGTGTGCAGCACATGCACGGTGTGCAGCACATGCACGGTGTGCAGCACATGCACGGTGTGCAGCACATTCACGGTGTGCAGCACATTCACGGTGTGCAGCACATGCACGGTGTGCAGCACATGCACGGTGTGCAGCACATGCACGGTGTGCAGCACATGCACGGTGTGCAGCACATGCACGGTGTGCAGCACATGCACGGTGTGCAGCACATTCACGGTGTGCAGCACATGCACGGTGTGCAGCACATTCACGGTGTGCAGCACATGCACGGTGTGCAGCACATTCACGGTGTGCAGCACATTCACGGTGTGCAGCACATGCACGGTGTGCAGCACATGCACGGTGTGCAGCACATGCACGGTGTGCAGCACATGCACGGTGTGCAGCACATTCACGGTGTGCAGCACATGCACGGTGTGCAGCACATTCACGGTGTGCAGCACATTCACGGTGTGCAGCACATGCACGGTGTGCAGCACATTCACGGTGTGCAGCACATGCACGGTGTGCAGCACATTCACGGTGTGCAGCACATTCACGGTGTGCAGCACATGCACGGTGTGCAGCACATTCACGGTGTGCAGCACATGCACGGTGTGCAGCACATTCACGGTGTGCAGCACATGCACGGTGTGCAGCACATTCACGGTGTGCAGCACATTCACGGTGTGCAGCACATGCACGGTGTGCAGCACATTCACGGTGTGCAGCACATTCACGGTGTGCAGCACATGCACGGTGTGCAGCACATTCACGGTGTGCAGCACATGCACGGTGTGCAGCACATGCACGGTGTGCAGCACATGCACGGTGTGCAGCACATGCACGGTGTGCAGCACATTCACGGTGTGCAGCACATGCACGGTGTGCAGCACATTCACGGTGTGCAGCACATTCACGGTGTGCAGCACATGCACGGTGTGCAGCACATTCACGGTGTGCAGCACATGCACGGTGTGCAGCACATTCACGGTGTGCAGCACATGCACGGTGTGCAGCACATTCACGGTGTGCAGCACATTCACGGTGTGCAGCACATGCACGGTGTGCAGCACATTCACGGTGTGCAGCACATGCACGGTGTGCAGCACATGCACGGTGTGCAGCACATTCACGGTGTGCAGCACATGCACGGTGTGCAGCACATTCACGGTGTGCAGCACATGCACGGTGTGCAGCACATGCACGGTGTGCAGCACATTCACGGTGTGCAGCACATGCACGGTGTGCAGCACATGCACGGTGTGCAGCACATTCACGGTGTGCAGCACATGCACGGTGTGCAGCACATTCACGGTGTGCAGCACATTCACGGTGTGCAGCACATGCACGGTGTGCAGCACATTCACGGTGTGCAGCACATGCACGGTGTGCAGCACATTCACGGTGTGCAGCACATTCACGGTGTGCAGCACATGCACGGTGTGCAGCACATTCACGGTGTGCAGCACATTCACGGTGTGCAGCACATGCACGGTGTGCAGCACATTCACGGTGTGCAGCACATGCACGGTGTGCAGCACATTCACGGTGTGCAGCACATTCACGGTGTGCAGCACATGCACGGTGTGCAGCACATTCACGGTGTGCAGCACATTCACGGTGTGCAGCACATGCACGGTGTGCAGCACATTCACGGTGTGCAGCACATTCACGGTGTGCAGCACATTCACGGTGTGCAGCACATTCACGGTGTGCAGCACATTCACGGTGTGCAGCACATTCACGGTGTGCAGCACATTCACGGTGTGCAGCACATTCACGTTGTGCAGCACATTCACGGTGTGCAGCACATGCGCATGCACATGCACATGCACGGTGTGCAGCACAGCCCTCTGTCGTGCGTGCCGCCCGCTTGGAGGACCAGCCTGGTGAGGCAATCAGGCGAGGAAGATGGGGAATGAGCGCAGGGAGGGCGGCATAAAGTGCATGTGTAGAGAGGCGGGACGAGAGGGATGACGAGAGGGGGGAGGAGAGGGGGGACGAGAGGGGGGACGAGAGGGGGGACGAGAGGGGGGACGACAGGGACAGAGTGTGATGTGACCTGAAGAAGCATCTGAGGGGGCACCTGGTAGTTCTCGAGCTTGGCGTGTTTGAGCAGCGCCTCCACATACTCCACGTCTGACATGCTGCAGTGAGCGGAGAGAGGAGAGGAGGGGGAGGAGGAGAGAGGAGGGAGGGGGGAAGAAGGGGTGGCTTAAAGTCGACTGCAAAGGCACCTATGTTTGAGCAGCACCTCCACGTTCTCCACGTGTGACATGCTGGGATGGCGGGGGAAAAGGGCGAGGGAGTGTGGGTGGGGGGGGAGAGGAGTGCTTTTGGGTGGACTCAGAAGCCACCCTGTGTTTGAGCAGCGCCTTCACGTACTCCATGTTTGACACGCTGAGGAGAATGGTGGGGTAGGGGGAGTGGGGGGGCAAAGAGGAGGTGAGGAGAAGAAGGGAGAAGACAGGAGATGAACGGTGCAAGCGCGAGAAACAAGGCAGGGAGTCAAGAAAAATGGAGTACATGCAGCAGGAGGGGAGGGGAGGAGAGGTCCTCGTTTTTCTCTACGTGCTGGACAAGGGAGAGGAGAGGAGAGGGAAGGAGAGGAGAGGGAAGGAGAGGAGAGGGAAGGAGAGGAGAGGGAAGGAGAGGAGAAGGAAGGAGAGGAGAGGGAAGGAGAGGAGAGGGAAGGAGAGGAGAGGGAAGGAGAGGAGAGGGAAGGAGGGAAGAGCGTTGCCGGAGAGAGTGAGAGAGCAGCAGTCGAGCACTCACTCCTGCTCGAGCAGCGAGGGCAGCAGCAGAGCGAAGCGGTCAACAAAGTCCTCAAAGGTGCGGCGAGTGGGGTAGCCCGCCGAGCACATGCGGATGGCCTCCAGCACTCCCTGCCCGCACAGGTGAGCGGGGATGAAGGGGACGGTAGGAAAGAAGGATTAGGCATGGGCTTTGATCATGCGCCCGCGTGAGCGCAGCTGTCAGTGACCATGGCGCGCTCTGTTCAGTTCACAGAGACAAGTGGCGCTCTATCGACTAAGCCCACTGCAAACTAGGCCCGTGGCGACTCACCCCCGATCGCAGCTGGTCCGTGACCATGGCTCGCTCAAACATGCCCGGGCGGCTCTTGGCGTTCGGCTTGATGCACCGGATGTAGTGCGGTTCAGTGCGGTTGAGCGTCTCCATCAGTTGCGCCAGTTGTTGCTGGCATGGCAACAAGGGAGCAGGACGAAACCAAAGGCAGGGGCAAGAAAGAGGGTTGGTGGGAGAGAAAATGGGTGGAGGGAGGGAGAAATTGAAAGGCAAGAGCAAGCTAAAATGCTGAGAGAAGTTCCCTAAACATGATTTACCACAACATGACACCTTGCAGGGCTGCCGCTCGAGCCATACAGGGCCCTCGGAGGCAAGATAGTCCGCCAAGTTGGGAGGATGCAGGGCACACAGGTGTGTGGTTGAGTGAATGGTTGAATGGCTCGTGCTGCGCCCCGGCGAGGCGCTCTTGTTGCTGACCTTGCTGACCTTGCTTTCGAAGTCTCTGTCAACTAAAGAAGTGGTTGCTTGGTTGGACGGATGAGTGGTTGGTTACCTGGTGGAGTAGTTGGTTGGTTGGATCATGCTCACCTTGAAGGAGCGGGCCAGCGAGGCGAACTTGCTGGTGGCCTTGCCGGCCTTGTCGTCGGGCGGCGCGGGTGGGAAGAGGGCGGCGACGAATGGGTCGGCGGACTTTTGCAGCAGCACCTCGTGCTCTGATACCACTGCGTCCATGTTCTTGCTTATGAACTCCAACGTGCTGTACTTCACCTGGCGCGTGTTGGGGGAGGAAGGGAGGGTAAGATGGGGAGAGTGAGAGGGAGAGGAGGGGGCAGTGCGTGCATGTTCTTGCTCATGAGCTCCGCCGTGCTGTGCACCCCACTCCATGCATGCTCTCTTGCTTCACCTCGTGCACTCCCAACGGGGGAAGGAGGTTCGGAGGAGGGAGAAAGGAAAGTGTGGAGTTGAGCAGAGGGTGGATAAGCTGTGCTGTAGTTCCTCTTGTGCGCTCAATGAAAGGGGGCAAACAAGTGTGGAGTTGGGGGAGGTTGGGTGAGATGAGGAGAATGCGAGGGAGGGGAAGGGGCAGGGCAGTGACACTGGAGAGCACGGGAATTGGAGCCTTCAGGCCCCGGAATCCAGGGTGCGTGTGGGCGCAGATGTGCTGCACGCTCAACACACGAGGCGTTACAAACCTTTAACACATTAACGTGCAAAGGCTGTGAATGTGCTCCCTTGAAAGCGAAGACATAGCCCTTGGACCTGGAGAAGACTTTTGTGTCGACTCAAATGCCATGTCGAATGTGACCCTATTGACCCGCATAGCGCAGAGACTGACATGCCCGGCGTAGTGCTCAAGCGTGAGTTCAGTGATAGAGCTCTTGGACTTAGAAACGGCCTTTCAGTCGACTCAGTTATTTTGACTCGAGCCAGATCTGCACCCACCCACCTGCCCGGTGTAGTGCTCGCGAGTGAGTTCGGTGACAGACAGAGCCCTTGGACTTGGAGAAAGTATTTGAAACGACTCCATAGGGCAGGGCCCCTACCCTACTGACTTGACTTGACTCCCAACTGACCTGCCCGGCGTAGTGCTCCATGGTGAAGTCGGTGACGGAGCCCTTGGACTTGGAGAAGCGGTCGTGGCGCAAGAAGGCGTCGTACAGCGACAGCGTGAAGCCCTCCGCTGTTGACTGCGCCAGGCGGCTGTGAGAGGGTAGGAGGGGAGCGGTGGGAGGTGGGGTGGGTGTGGGTAGGCAGGTAGAGGGCACATGAGGTAGGCCGATAAGGGTGGCGAAGAGGAAGGAGGGCATGCCTCTGCTGCTGACGCGCGCACATACGATGGAACGGAGAAGAAGAGCGAATGAGGAGCAGGGATTAGTGGATTAGGATGCAGCTTGCGGAGTGCAGGAAGGTGAAGGCGAATGGAGGTGTGACAAGGCGAAGGGGGGGCACGTACCAGGCAGAGTCGAGGATGCTGAGGATGCCCTTGTCCTGCCATGCGGGGGGACATCGGGGGGGGGCAGGGGGGGGGAAAGGGAGAGGGGGAAGGAAAGGGGAAGGGTGAGGTTGAGGGAGGACGGAAAAGGGGGAAGGGAAAGGGAGAGGGAGGGGGGGGGAAGAAGGAAGGGGGAGGAAGGGGGAAGGGGGAGGGAGAGGAGGGGGGTAGGAGGGGGAAAGGGGAGGGATGGGTGGGTGGGTTTGAGTTCTGAGAGGAACAAGAGGGGAACTGCATCGAACCTTTTAAAGTGAGCGCATGCATCATGTCTGACATGTATGATCTGATCTGATCTGATCTGATCTGATTTGATCTGATCCTCTGCAGCTCCATGTGACTCTCTCGAAAAGCGCCATCTACCACTTTTCACGCCCTACAGCTTTGCCTCACTTCTCTCTCCCTCACAATGGATCCTGCCGCAACCCATCGCATCCACCCCAGCACATCCCACCCGTCCGTCTATGCCCCTCACCCATCCCACCCTCCTTTGGATCCCCCCCATTGCATGTCCTCAACCACACCGTTCACCCCCAATACTGTACTTATCTCACCCCCTCAATGAGGTCCAGCGTTTCTCTCATCCCCTCTACTGTGCTTCTCCCACGCCGCTCACCCCTTCAATGAGGTCGAGCACGTCCTGGTTGTCACGGAAGTTGATGTAGCTCCAGTTGATCTGCTCCTTCTCGTACTCCTCCTGCTCCAGCTTCAACACGTGCTGGTGGTTCACACGAGGGAGCAAGAGAAAGAGCATCTCAGCATTTTTTAACTCGATTGCAGACCATGGGAACTGTAAAACTCCGAATAAATTATGGTTTGGGCCAGGGAGGATATGAAATGTTTTCTGGTAAGAGCACTTTGCCTTGCCCTGTTACTTGTGAGACACTAGTTTCGCAGTGTTATTACAGCTGCCTACAAAAGCACGTGAGTTTTTCCAACTAACCTGCCACGAAACACGCCTCACCTGGTTGAAATGCTGCTGCAGTTTCTCGTTCGCGAGATTGATGCAGAACTGCTCAAAGCTGTTGGGGAGGCATGGAGGGGAGGTGAGCCGAGGGGCAGGGAGGGGGGAGAAGGGGTTGCGTGGACGATGATGCAGGGAAGTATTGGCACAAAGAGGGAGCAAAGGGGTGTTAGGGGGCACTTGAGAGGGGTCGGTGGGGTTGAAGGAAAGGGAAAGGCAGATGCACGCATTGAGTGGAAACTCGCAGGGTTGTAGATGTGGGATGGCGCCAGGAAGAAGGTTCAGGTTAAAAGCTGCCTTTTACCTTGACTTTAAGTAGTTGAAAGATGTATGCACCTCTGGCCTCGTACCTGATGACCTTGACTTGGAGTGCTCTCATCTCATCCCATCGCACCTGTTGATCTTGAAGTGCTCGAAGCCGTAGATATCAAGCACGCCAATGATGGCCATGGCCCTGGGGTCCTGCCCGATGGACCGATTCACCTTCTGCACGATCCTGGGAGGGAGGAAGGGGGGAAGAAAAAGGGAGGAAGGGGGACGAGGAAAGTGTGGGGTGGGAGGTGGGGGTGGGTGAGTGAGGTGTGGTTGAGGGCGAGGCGGGGTGGCTGGGGGTGTGAGCTGGTCACGCTTTTCTTTCCTGTGTTTTGAGGACATGCACGGAAGTTAGCTTCACTTGGTACATGGAGGTTTACATGAAAAGATGGATGAGGGTTTGGGACCCTAAACCCAAACTTTGGGTTGTGGCCATGGCTGATTTATTGACTTCCCTTCCCCCCAATACGGCGGAGTGGAGCTAGATTAACAATCAGGGTTCAATGGTGACCATGATTTTTAAAACCCCAATGATCGTGGACCAATCATTGAGGTTCATTTCACTTGACAGGGGTTAACGCTGGAGCCCAGCCCCTCAATTAGGGCCAATCCTGGTTTTACACCTAGCAGTCTCACTCACTCACCAGTCAAAGAGCTTGGAGTAGAGGGTCTCACCAGTCAAAGAGCTTGGAGTAGAGGGTCTCACCAGTCAAAGAGCTTGGAGTAGAGGGTCTCACCAGTCAAAGAGCTTGGAGTAGAGGGTCTCACCAGTCAAAGAGCTTGGAGTAGAGGGTCTCACCAGTCAAAGAGCTTGGAGTAGAGAGTCTCACCAGTCAAAGAGCTTGGAGTAGAGGGTCTCACCAGTCAAAGAGCTTGGAGTAGAGGGTCTTGGCGAGCGTGTCACGGCGGACGGTGGCGGCCTTGACATCGAGAGCACTCTTGATGGTCTCCCCCCCCACCTTGCGCTTCACCGTGCATAGTGAGTCCTGCAGCTTCTTGCGGTCGCACCTGAAGTATCAGGGCAAGAGCAGCAGGCAGAGAGTGAAACTTGCAGTTGGCATCTCTCCTTGTGCGCTAGATCGCCACAGTGTGAAACGGGTGAGGAACTTGGGAGGCATCCCTCCTCACATCCCTCCTCCTACACGTCTGCTGCGGGTCATATCACATGCATGCCATGCCACATGTACGAGCAGGGAAGAAGGGGGAGGCGACTTACGAGAGGAGGGAGGCGACTTACGAGAGGAGGGAGGCGACTTACGAGAGGAGGGAGGCGACTTACGAGAGGAGGGAGGCGACTTACGAGAGGAGGGAGGCGACTTACGAGAGGAGGGAGGCGACTTACGAGAGGAGGGAGGCGACTTACGAGAGGAGGGGGGCGACTTACGAGAGGAGGGAGGCGACTTACGAGAGGAGGGAGGCGACTTACGAGAGGAGGGAGGCGACTTACGAGAGGAGGGAGGCGACTTACGAGAGGAGGGAGGCGACTTACGAGAGGAGGGAGGCGACTTACGAGAGGAGGGAGGCGACTTACGAGAGGAGGGAGGCGACGGTGTCGAGGGTGGCGTCTGTGTGCTTGGCGATGCGCAGCTTGTCGCCCTTCTCCCTGAACTCCACGTTGCCCAGATGCAGCACCGCTGCTAGCAGCCGCAGGATTGATAACTGGTGGAGGGAGAGGGGGGGATTCCCAGAAGAAAGGATAGGAGGGGTCCTCCCTTCTAAACTCTACTAAGCATCACACTCTCTAAACTCCCTAAGAGAGGATGTTGAAACCATGCCATGGGGAACACAGGGAGCTGGGACTGGGAAGGGAAGTGTGGTCTCGGCACAATGGGGGCCATGGGATGAGGAATTATGAAACACACACTCACGCACTCACACACAAACAAGCGCGCACACACACACATACCACCAGGCACACACCCACCTGCTATTCCTCCGAAATCCCAATCATGCGCATGGCACTGCTATTCTTGCTGTACTCTTGAGTCGACTCAAGAATCGCACCCTCACTCACGCACGCACGCACCCACCCCCCCATCCATGCACACACAACACCTGCTCTTCCTCGGAGATGCCAATGACGCGCATGGCACTGCGGGTCTTGCCATACTCCTCGGCGTTGCTGGACTTGCCCTGCAGGTCGAAGCAGCGGCTCTGGTTGAGGTAGTGGAAGTGCTGCGCCCTGTTGGGGCCGGGAGGGAGCTTCAGCAGCTCTGCTTCCTGCCGGCACAGCGCATGGCACGGAGACAGGGCAGAGAGAGATAGGGCACGTTGGGAGAGTGAGAGAGCAATGATTTAGAGTTGGCAGGTGAGGGATGGTAGAGTGCAAGTGCTGCTGCACTCTTGGGACCAGGGGCGAGCTTTAGCAGCTTCGCCTCCTGCCAGTGCAGCACATGGCAGCAGTAGGCAGAGAGGGATAGGCAGAGAGAGAGACGGCACAGCACACTGGGAGGGTGAGGGAGTGAGGGAGAGCAGGGAGAGAAGAGTACGAAGCAGTGGCTCTGGTAGTGGAAGTGCACATGCTGTTGGGGTTGAGGGGCAGGGATGGGGGGTACAGACGCGACGGGTACGGCAGCGACAGGTGCTGCAGAGAGGGGTGCGGCAGAGTAGGGTGCGGCACGGAGGGGTGCTGCAGGGAGGGGTGTTGGGGGAGGGGCGGGTTGGGTTGGGAGTTGAAAGGGTGCGAGAGCAAGCTACAGCAGAGCAGCAGTGACTGACCTCGGGGGAGGCCCCATCGCAGAGCTGGTAGAAGCAGTGGTAGTTCCTCTCGGGGTCGGCGATCTGCACCACTCGAGATCGCTCCAGCAGGTACGAGCGGATGGCTGCTCCTGACACACGCCCTCGCTCGTCAAACTGGATCTCGATGAACTTGCCAAAGCGACTGGCGGCACGGGTGAGGGGCAGAGGACGGCGGGTAAAGGAAGCAATGGAAGGGAAAATGAGGGTGCGGTGAATGCTCGATGACACGCGGCCTCGCTCGTCAAACTGGATCTCTATGACCTTGCCAAAGTGACTGGCGCCCAGCCAGCACACAGGGTGGTCTGAGGGAGAGAGTGGAAGACACAAGCAGGGCGACGGGGACAGAAGGCAGGGGCAACGAATGGAAGGAAGGAGAAGGACGACGTGCATCTACTTGTGCTCAAGGCTCAACATACGGAGAAACATCCACTGCCTGGATAGATCGCCACACACCTGCTACCTCGCACACACCTGCTACCTCGCACACACCTGCTACCTCGCACACACCTGCTACCTCGCACACACCTGCTACCTCGCACACACCTGCTACCTCGCACACACCTGCTACCTCGCACTCTTCCCCACTGCACTCATCCCCCAGTTTTTCTTCCCCTTGGCACTTATCCCGCTTTACTCGTCCCCCTGCACTCATCGCGCCTCTGTACATCTCCCTGCACCGCATCCCACCTGGAGTTGTCATTGCGCACTGTCTTGGCATTCCCAAACGCCTCCAGCAGTGGATTGGACTGTTGCGGGGCAATTGCAGGACGATCAGAAGAGCAAGAGAGGGAGGGGAAGGGGGAAGGGAGCGGGAGAATAAAAGACAAGTGTTCCAATGTTCCAATGTTGGAAAGGGGTGGAACATTGGAGGAGGGAGTGGGAGCGGGTTTCAAATTCTGAATCAAGAGGCGGAGGAAGAGAAGGGCAGGCGAGGAGGAGGATGGCATCGTGGTGAAATAAGAGAAAGTGTTGCAACACTCCAAATTTGCCTCACACAACCTCGCCCCTCTTACCCCTCTGGCCTCGCTTGCCTCTCTTGCCCCTCGTGGCTTCACCTTCATGCTTCCAGCCAGCCACACTCGCTTGTTCGTGATTCACCATTTTCGTTGCCACGCCTCTACTCTGCCTCCAGCCCTTGCCTACTGTCACGTCACTCACTTTCCTCCTCCCGTCTGTCCCTGCGTCGCTCTCTGCCTGCCTCTCTCTGATTGCTCCGCTGATTGCCTCACCCTCTCGCACCTCCACCATTTGCTTCATTGCTTCTCACTGCCCCTCTCACCTCATGTCAGGTGCGTCGCAGTCCCTCCCCCATCTCACCTCCTGCACTTGGGTATCAGTGCTGCGCTTTCCCTCACTGTCCGCATGGCCCCCCACAACCTCCATCACCACCTTCGCTGCCTTGCCTCCATCTTGCCCGCTGCTCTGCATCCCAGCCCGTCCTCACCCCTTTCTCCCCCTTTACTCCCACTCCCCCCACCCACCCTCCCCCTCCCGTTTCCACAGCCCTACCCCTCCGTCCCCCTCTCAAGTCTCGCCCCAAGTTTCTTGTAAGCCCTTTCCCCCCCCCTCTCACCTCCAGCACTTGGTTCTCGATGCTCCTCTCGCCCTCGCTGTGAGCGCGCCCCCCCACGGACGCCAGGTACTCCATCACCAGCTTCGTCGTCTCCGTCTTGCCCGCCCCGCTCTCCCCGCTTATCAGAATCGACTGGCTTCGCCGCTCCTCCCGCATCGCTCTGCGCATTGCGGAGCGAATGCATAAGGGGGAGGGCATGAGGGGGGTGGAGATGGGGGAGGGCGGGCACGAGAGGGCGGGCATGAGGGGACGGGCACGAGAGGGCGGGCATGAGGGGACGGGCACGAGAGGGCGGGCATGAGGGGACGGGCACGAGAGGGCGGGCATGAGGGGACGGGCACGAGAGGACGGGCATGAGGGGACGGGCACGAGAGGACGGGCATGAGGAAGGGGGGAATGAGGGGCGGGCATGAGGGGAGGGGCACGAGGGTGGGGTTCCTGCACTGCATGTTCTCCTGTCTTGCCCACAACGCTCTCCCCGCTGATCAGAATCGACTGCCTTGCCGCTCCTCCTGCATTGCTATGCACTACGCAGGGGGAATAAAAAAAGTTGTTGGCCATGGGGGGGCGGGTATGTGGGGGCGGGCATGCAGGGGAAAGTGCGAGGGGGGGCGGAGAGGGAGTGAGGAAGGCGGGGTTGAGGGGGGCGGGTATAAGGGGGCGGTCATGAGGGGAGGGGACACAAATGAACGGGCTGAAGGTTCTTGTCTGCTCGGCAATCTGCTAGTCTTCACACATGTTCCTCGTCTCATCTCACACTCCCCTTTGTCCCAACTCTCCCATGTACGTTCCTGGCACCTGCGAATTCACCGTAGAACGCACCTGTAGGCATTGTGAGCACCCGCCTCACCTACACGCGGTCCCAGCTGGCCAGCACCACCCTCTCATCCCCGCCTCTACGCATTGTCGGCAATGGCAACGACGTGGGGGTGACCTCGCCCAGCGACTGGCCCCAGCAGGTGTCCTGCATGTCCCTCTTGAGTCCACCCAGAAGGCACCTCGCATCACACCCACCCCACCCCCACCCCCACCCCCATCCCCACCTGTAAGCGTTGTCAGCGATGGCAAAGACGTGGGGGCTGAGCTCGCCCAGCGGCTGACCCCGGTAGGCATCGCGCATGTCGCGGTCGTAGATGCCTGGCAGGCGCATGAAGGGGTTCGCTGCTATCAGGATGCTGCCCGTGTATGTCTGGGGGAGGGGCGGGAGGGTGGGAAGAAGGTAAGGGGGAACACCTGATACCATCCCCAAAACCCCCCTCTTCCCGCAGAGCAGACATGCACGTAGATGAGGTTGCGGGGGTAGCACCACATGAGGTTGCGGGGGTAGCACCACATGAGGTTGCGGGGGTAGCACCACATGAGGTTGCGGGGGTAGCACCACATGAGGTTGCGGGGGTAGCACCACATGAGGTTGCGGGGGTAGCACCACATGAGGTTGCGGGGGTAGCACCACATGAGGTTGCGGGGGTAGCACCACATGAGGTTGCGGGGGTAGCACCACATGAGGTTGCGGGGGTAGCACCACATGAGGTTGCGGGGGTAGCACCACATGAGGTTGCGGGGGTAGCACCACATGAGGTTGCGGGGGTAGCACCACATGAGGTTGCGGGGGTAGCACCACATGAGGTTGCGGGGGTAGCACCACATGAGGTTGCGGGGGTAGCACCACATGAGGTTGCGGGGGTAGCACCACATGAGGTTGCGGGGGTAGCACCACATGAGGTTGCGGGGGTAGCACCACATGAGGTTGCGGGGGTAGCACCACATGAGGTTGAGCAACACACCTGCCTGCCGCATGTGCCACCCACCCCCTGCCTGAAAGCCACAACGCATCCCACCACCCCTTCATCTCCTCGACCCCTCTCAACCACCCTCTCACTCCCTTCCCTCCCCCCACCCCCCACCCCTCAGAGACGCACATAGATGAGGTTGCACTGGTGGCACTGCATGAGGGGTTGTGCAGCACGGCGGCTTATGCGTGTGCCATCCATATCAGATGCACCTTGTGAACATCACAGCTCATGTACCTGCCTGCCCCTCCCTCCCTCCACCCCCCAACCCAACCCCACCCCCCCTTCCCTCTCAGAGACGCACGTAGATGAGGTTACGCTGGTAGCGCTGCATGAGGTTGTGCAGCACGCCCGGCTCGTGCAGGTAGGCGAGCTTGACCATGTCGTCCACCACGGCGCTCTCCTCCTCGCGCGCGTAGCACTCGCCCTGGCCCACCACCACCTGCAGCGCATGGCAGTGCCCACAGGCGAGAGAAACGCGAGAGAGGATGGCACAGGCGGGACAGAAGGCAGGGAGGGGTGAGGGCGGTGGAGTGATGCGCCACTCACGGCACCCCCCCGCCTCTAAAGCTGCTGTCCTACATGCCTCCCTCCCTCGCGAGCTTGACCATGTCATCCACCACGCCACGCTTCTCTCCTCCTCGCCGTACGCACTCGCCCTCGCCCACCACCACCCATGGGGCGCATGGCACACACAGCAGGGGTGAGGGCACGGGAGGGAGGGGATGGGAGAGCAGGGGTGGGGAAGGGAGGAGAGGAGAGGGGAAAGGAAAGGAGGGGAGGGGAGGGGAGGCATAAATCTCGAGACTGCTTATCTCGAAGAGATGAAAGATAAGTTTGATCATTGGCAGGGTTTCCATATGGATTCCAAAATGGATATGGCTAAAACAATGGCCGTTTTTGGTGCTTTTACGGAGGGACAGAGTGAGGGAGGGGAAAGAGGATGGCACGTGAGGGAGGAGAGGCCGTGTACAGAGAGGCGTGACTCACGGGTGACCTCCACCTCAGAGACGCTAAAGCTACTCTCCTCCAGCCCTTTCATCAATGGAGATGGGATACGGTGGGGTGCGACTGACGTATGGGATGGGAATATAATGGGGTAGGTGTTATTTTATAGAGAGGAGGGGACGGAGTTGAAGAGTCTTCACCACTCCCCTCCTGCCCCTCCCAGCCTCACTGTCAGTCACCTGCCCGCCCCCGCTCACTGAGTCACTCCCTCTCTGCAACTCACATGTCCCCCATCCCCCTGCCAGCCAACTTCCCTGCTCCCCCATTTCGAACCCGCCTGTCCCTCGCCACCTCCGTCCAGCCCCACGGTGAGTCAGCAACTCACTCCCGCCCCTCCTTCCAGACTGCTACTGCTACCTTCCCCTCTCACTGAATTCCTCTATGTGATTCGCATGCCCTGCCCTGGCGTGCCACCTCCCCTGCTCCCCCATCCCCTACCCGACTGTCACTTGACGCATCCGCCCAGCCCCACGGTGACTCGCCTGCCTGTCCCCTTTCCCCCTTCTATACGGCTTCTATCCCACAACGCCCCTCGTGGTGCCTCATCTCCTACCTACCTACCTGCCTGCCCCTCGTGGTGCCTCATCTCCTACCTACCTGCCTGCCTGCCCCTCGTGGTGCCTCATCTCCTACCTACCTACCTGCCTGGCCCTTGCCGCGTCCACCCACCACCACACTTAGCTGTGGCCCACTCCGTTCCGTACAGCTACTGCCTCCCCACCCCCCCCACACACACACATTCCCCTGTTCCCCCGGCCCCTCCAATGCGTTGTGTCGTACTCGCCTGGCCCTTGCCGCCTGTGCCCAGCGCCACAGTGAGCTGGCTGCTCCCGCGCTCCCGCGCCACCACCTCGCCCTCCTCCCACGCATCCGCTGCATCCGGCACCCACACCTTCGACCCCACCGTGAACAGGTGCTGCTGTGACCCCTGGGGGAAGGAGGGGGGACGAGAGGAGGGGGAAGAGAGCAGGAAACGTCAAGACAAATGGGGGGAGAGGGAGGGAGGTGGGGGGGGACTGGATGGGCGCACTGCATCCGGCACCCACACCTTGGACCCCAGCGTGAACAGGTGCTGCTGCGAGCCGTGCACGCACAGGAGAGAGACAGAGGTGGGCAGGGTGAGGCAACGGTGAGGTGATGCGAAGCTGGGTGGGTCCGCTGCATCTGGCACCCACACCTTCGACCCCACCGTGAACAGGTGCTGCTGTGGGGGAAGGGGGGACGAGGGGGGATGGGGGAAGAACGGAACAGAAGGAAACAGCAAGTCAAAGGGATGGAAAGGGGCCATTTTGGTTAGGCGCGGTGCGTTGGGCGCCTCCCCACCGCGAACATGTGCTGTGAACCCTGGAGGAAGGGGGGGAGACAGAGGAGGAGAGGGGAGGAGGGTAAGGGAGGAGGGCAGGAAAGGAAGGGACAAGGGGTGAGGTGGTGAGGCGATCTTGGGTGGGCGCACTGCAGCAAGCACCCGCACGTCGTTCACTTCACCCCACCGAGAACAGGTGCTGCTGCACGAGCCCTGAGGGCGGGGGAGGGGGAGAGGGGATGGGGAAGAAGGGGCAAGGGCGGGGGAAAGGGGGAGGGGGGTGGGGGGCGGGAGAGTGCGGGGGAAATAGGATGGGGGAGGAAGAACAGGAAGGACAAGAAATGGTATGAGGCGAAACCAGGTGGGCGCAGTGCATCAACCGCCCACGACTTGGACGCCGATAACGCCCTTATAACGAAGCACAACGTGATTATAACGAGGCTCTGGTACCAGCTCCGCGAATATGAGATAACGGGGGGGATTCGAAATAGCACAGGGGATTTGACGGGGGTATTTAATAGCACGGCAGATATTCGAAAGAACGGGGGGGAATAAGACATGGCGGGGAGGGGGATACTTGATAGATACTTTTTTTTTTTTTTTAGGGCGGCTGTTGGTGCCTGATCACGAGGGGGGGGTGGGGGGTTGGGATGGGGAGAGGGAGCAGAAGCGCGATGACGGCGGACGGCGCGGGAAGAGGGCGGGTAGCGCGCGGGACGGCGGCGGATAGCGCGGGGGAATGGAAAGAGGCCAGTGGGTAACAGGCAGCGGGGGGAACGAGACAGACGAGTTTTGACGACAAGGCAAGGGGAGGGGAGACGGCGGAAAGAATCGCTTTTCGCAACAAAAGCGGGTGGAGATGGGTTGCGGGAGCTGGCAGGGGGAGAAGCATCGCGGAAGGAACGGCGTGAAGCATTGCGGAAGGCACGGCGTCGAGGGCTGAGAAGCGCCTCACGCCCTTGGCGCTACGCCCTGCGCCCTGCGGCATGCGTTCGAGCAGGGTTACGCGCTGTTCGAGCCTGCTTGCTCGCAAGCTTTGCACGCCGCTGCTGCATCTGCAACAATGATTCGCCGGTGCGGCCCACAGGCGGCGCTCGCGAGGGCGCGATAGTACCCGATGCTTCCATTTATTGGCTTTTGGTCGAATCCCTCGGGTTCGACGGTCGCCGGCTTGCTACCGTGCAATCGTCGCAGGCACACAAATCGACGGACACGGAAAGATCGCCGCGTACGGCATGTCGCATTCGCATGGTCATGTGATGCCACGCCATTCACCATTAAATGCTACACGATCACCATGCGATACTTCACAAACAATGCTACGGAAATTATCGTTGCATGCCGGGCATCTATGGATGGATCCAGTCACTCACCATGGCTGAACGCGGCACGGCTGCTCGCAGAGGCGGAAACTCGCTGCTGCTTCTCCAAGGCTTCCCGATGGACCTCTACCGATCGCGGCTGACGGCTACCGATCGCCGGTGACGGGTACTACCGAACGCTACTGACGGCTAACCGCAGCCGCGCTTCATGGTGATCCTGCTTACGACGAGAAAGTCAAACTCGCTGGCGATGCACCTCCGACTATCAACGTTGCTAGGGAGTACCTCCCAATGCCAACACCCACGAACTCGAACACTATCGACCGCCTCGGCGCGTCGCCTCCGTGCTATCGACGCTTACGATCGCTCCTTTGTCGAGGCTGGGCCAAGTGGATAGCGAGGAGTTCAATACCGTAGAAATATAAAACAGTTAAGCTACGATTGCACCTGCGTCATCGGCATTGGCGCCGATGGGCACTGCGCGACTTTGGGATGGAGAGCACTGGTGAGAAAAGGCTACGTCCTGCGAGCGTAAAGCGACCAGAACTTGGAGGACGGGCGATGAAGCTGGTGTTGAGTTGAGTCTAGGGCAATGCTGGTGGTATTGACAATACCATACCATAACCAAGTAGGCTTTCTCCCTGTCTTGGAGAGAAGCGTGTGGTGGAGGAGACGAGAGTGCAGGAACCGAATGGTGGGAGCGAAGGGTGGGTGGGGAGAGCGACGACTGTGGGTCAGGTCTCAAAAAATTGTGCAGAATTCACCCTGCATTGTCGTGGGCTTGAATTCCACTGTCCTGCTCTATAGGTTACGCCCTGAGTGTCACCTCTTTGCACCTCCTAAGGGTCAAGCTGCTTGGTTTGCCTCGAGTTGTATGTGCTTCTAGTTACCATTTCGTTGCGTGGCCCTCCTGCTTTCTACTTGAGTACACCCTCTAGTACAGTCCTCCACTGCCAGTAGTAACACAAGGTTCACACGACGAGCTCTCGAGTTACCCATACATAGGTACAGGAAGGGAACGAATGCAAGGCGCCAAAGTTGATCGAACGGATTCGAAAAGGTTCGGCGGCACCGGCTGCTGTGTGCTTCAAATGTTGATGATTGGAGGAATGCACACAGTCAAGAAATCTTGACCAATGAGTGAAGCCATCGACAGCAGCCCTCAGTTCTTGAGCTACAGAGTGAGCGGAATTGACTAATAGAAGCTCTCACTAGATAAATTGAGAATACAGTGACATCATATACAATATAGTAAGAAACGGGACCCAATATAGAAGGGGAAAAATGCCATGTTTGCCCTTGCTATGGGCCGCTTTCCAGGATCACCCTGAATTTTTACAATGTTTCTGTAAGGACCTTTACAGGCTAAGTGTAGTGTTCATTTCACACTTT